AAAATACTGAACAAGTGAAGTTAATCATTTAAATGCAAACATGGTGTTCCATTAGGAAACTCACAAATATAAATGAAAATATTAAAGGAGATAAAATGATGATCGCAACAGAAGCAAAAAACAATAATTTTTGATAAAATTCAACGTCATCCACAATAAAAACTCTTCCCAAATAAGGAAGAGGAAAAAAAACATTCTTAAACTGATAAAAAGTCACCTACCAAAAACACGGAACAAACATAATACTCAACGGTTAGAAAAAAAAAAATCAGGAACAAGATAAAGATTCCTGTTATAACTACTTCTGTCCAAATTGTACTGAACATATTAGTGAGCCAAATAAATAAATAATAAAAAGTATAAGGACTGCAGGAAGAAACAAAATGGCCATTAGTGAGGTGGGTGGGGAAGGGAAGGACTGAGAGTTTGGGATTAGCAGACGCAAACTATTACATATAGGATGGATAAAGAAGGTCCTACTGTGTGGCATAGGGAACTATATTCAATACCCTGTGATAAACCATAATGGAAAAGAATATGAAAAAATATATATATATAACTGAATCACTTTGCTATACAGCAGAAATTAACACAACATTATAGATCAACTATACTTCAATAAAATAAAAATTTAAAAATAGCCTTTTCTGGGGCTTCCCTGGTGGCTCAGTGGTTGAGAGTCCGCCTGCCGTTGCAGGGAACACGGGTTCGTGCCCCGGTCCAGGAGGATCCCACATGCCGCGGAGCGGCTGGGCCCGTGAGCCACGGCCGCTGAGCCTGCGCGTCCGGAGGCTGTGCTCCACAACGGGAGTGGCCACAACAGTGAGAGGCCCGCGTACCACAAAAAAAAAAAAAATAGCCTTTTTGGCCACACCACGTAACATGCAAGATCTTAGTTCTCCAACCAGGGATTGAATCCGTGCCCCCTGCAGTGGAAGCACAGAGTCTTAACCACTGGACCACCAGGGAAATCCCTAGCCATTATTCATTTGTAGGTGAAATAACTGTCTACATAGAAAACCTAATAAAATCCAAAAAAATAGGAGAATTCAGCAGTTTCTGGATAAAAAATACAAAAACCAACAACATTCCTATATGCCAGCAACAAACGATTAGAAACTATTTATAAAGAGCTACCATTTATACGGAATAGGATAGTCTCAAAGAATCTACCACAGATAACCTATTCAACACAAAGTGAAAAAGAACCTTTGCAAACTGTCACCCAGTCAATCACGTGATCTAACAAGGCAGCCCCACACAAGGGTCAACCTGCCATCAATGCGTCCTGATGGGGTACAATGGAGGTATACCTCCAAAACTGCTGAACTTGAATCTTAGGGAGTAACAAATGGGACAAATCCACTTCACGGAAGTTAATGCTCTGAAAAACAAAAACGAGTGGGAATTATTCTAGATCTGCAAACTTTCAGGTCTCCAAAGCCCTAAACTCTTTAAAATCACTGAGGGCACCGAAGACTTTTTGTTCATGGGAGTTATTATACCTAGTGTTATTTACTGTGTTAGAAATTAAAACTCAGAACTTAAAAAATATTTCTCATTGATTCATTTCAATAATAAAAAGCATATTAACATTAATAAAATATTGTTTGAAAAATCATTATGTTTTCCAAAACAAAAACGTCTAGTGCGGTGAGTGGCGCTCAATTACGTTTTTGGCAAACCTCGTCAATGTCTAGCTCACTAGAGGTCAGCTCATTTGCTGTGTGGCAACATGCTGCTCTAGTTGGAATACTGATCATGAAAATTCAGCCTCACACAGCTATGCAGTTGCACATGAACTGTTCCCAGGAACGGAACAGCAGCGCACAGTGAGATCAGAGGGGCTATACAGCCCTGGCCCTGTGGCTGGAGAAACAGGGTCGGGAGACCCCAGTGGATCACCCCTGGTGGAGACATTATGGAGAATGTCTTTTTCTTTATACTCTGTTCTACGTTTTCCAAGTTTTCTACAGTAAGTAAGCAAGTATGACTTTTTAGAATCAAGGTTTTTAAGTCTCAAACTGCTTTTCCCCAAAGCTTGGCAACATTGTTTTAGATTCATATATAGCACTCAGGATGAGATTACAGAAAATACAATTTTAAGCTCATTAGCTTCAGTGAGGAGAAAAATATACCCGGAGGGAAGGATGAGTGCATAGCAAACAATGATCTAGAACAAATGTGCCCCCAAAGCATCTCCCCCTTTCCAAATATATGGGGAGAGTTGAAATAGAAAATACCTGATGTCATTTCCACGAAGAGAGTAAAGGAGGAACTTGTAGGAGATGAGGAGGGAAAAACAGTCAGATAACGCGGGGCCCCGCAAGCAAGTTAAGTTACTAAGGAGAGACACTCACTGTTAACCCCAGCATTCACACACAGACCCAGGGCCTGTGAGAGAAATTAATATACTATTTACTTAACTTCATATCAGAGAGCCCATGCTGAATAATAGACTGAAGAGAAAAGCAAAGTCTTGAATCTTGTTTCTGATTTAGTCACCAGGTGATTAATAACACAGAGCTTTGGACTTCCCTGGTGGCGTAGTAGTTAAGAACACGCCTGCCAACGCAGGGGACACGGGTTCGAGCCCTGGTCCGAGAAGATCCCACATGCCATGGAGCGACTAAGCCTGTGAGCCACAACTACTGAGCCTGTGCTCTAGAGCCCGCGAGCCACAACTGCTGAGCCTGCACACCTAGAGCCCGTGCTCCACAACAAGAGAAGCCACCGCAATGAGAAGCCCGCGTACCACAACGAACAGTAGCCCCTGCTCACCGCAACTAGAGAAAGCCCGTGCACAGCAATGAAGACCCAACACAGCAAAATATAAATAAATAAAATTAATAAATTAAAGAAAATAACACAGAGCTTCAACTGCCTATTATTAACGTGAGAAAAGCAGTGCCTGCCTTACCTTCCTTTATAAACGTATTATCGGATATCATGAAATATCAAAAAGGTAAGATGTAAGATTTTGTCAGCATACAGTTCTTAGATGAATTAAAACAGCTTTGTGAAGGGCATATTGTCTGTATTACTGTGTACCATTCGCTGAGCCTGAGGAAAGGGGGAGGAACTGGTCTGGAGAAGACTGCGAGCTTGGCTCTGGTCACTTTAGGGGACGATGCTGTCTGCCCAAACGATTCAGAGATAAAGAAGAGTTGAGAGCGGGTAGAGAAGAGGGATGTAGAGATGACAATATGGAGAAGAATTATTTCAAGAAATTGGCAGGGGCAGGAAAGAGACAGGACAAAAATAGCAGAGGACGTGAGAGGTTTGCTTGCTTTGAAACAGGAAGGGGAGAAGGGGGAATCAGGAAACCCGGGAGCTCCAGGTGGGCCTGGGGCAATGAGAGAGGGGATGGAATAAAGAACTCGGGGGAAAGAATGGTGGTTTAGTTTCTGTGAGAAAATGAAGGGAAAAAATAAATATGGCCCAAAATACTACCCCCCAGAACAAGCGAGGAAAGGCTTCTGACACTATGTGAATTAGACTGACTTGTAACCCACAGTAGGCCAGCACTCGACCAACGCAGGCAAGGCGGCTGCACATTGCGCCCAAGTGCTGTTTTCTTTAACTCTTAACTGCCTGCGTGTGTGTTTCTCTGATACTTCATGTATAAACAGTGCTGCTGGTCGAGATATGCTGTAAGTTTATACCCTGAATCATCTTCTCCCCCAAACACAGCAATAATAGAAAATGCTAGTGCATATATGTTTATTTTAATCAAAAGAATATCATCACTCAAAAACAAAAAAATCAGCCGCCCACGCGAGAAACGGAACAAAGTGCAAGACAGTAATCAGAAGCCTGGCCAGGCTTCCGTCCACAGGCTGGGCACGGTGGCCAGGATCTGAATCCTTCAGGCAGGGGAACCAAAGGCACACCACTCCTCTAGCGTGTATCCGGAAGCAGGTTATTTGAGCAAAACCACGGGTGAGAACAGTGGCCCCTACCCTTGAAGGGGCCTGAAAAAAGCCACAGCTGCTGCCCTGGAACTACAGCTTGGGTCAACAGCATGCTACCTGCTGGCTCTGCAGAATCTCCACCATCACCACAAGATGGGATGCGAGCTCTGGGCTACAAACTCCTGGTTCTGGACTAGGGGGTGGGGCAGGGGGGACTGCAAAAATAAGACAGAAGCGAGCAGGGAGAGAGAGAGAGAGAGAATAAACTGCTCAAGATAAACATACAAGCTAAAATTCTTAGGCATACAAGAAAAACTATGAAAGTCAGCCAAGAAATTCAGTCATCAGGAGACTCATTCATTTGTGATGAAAACCAAGACTAGGAAAGTTTAACAATAATGGACCCTCACTAAAGGATCTATTTCACTAAGAAGAATATCACACCCAGAAGGAAGAAGGATATAAGAAATAATGACCTAAAGCAAACATGACCCCAACACCTGACCCCCTCAAAAGAGATATACTGAATGTAGGCAGAGCTCAGTAAACATTTGCTGAATACATGTTTAGGTTTAAGAACCTCCAATGACCTACTTGGAGTTCCTAAAAATAATTCGGAAATTCTCTGTCTTAAAAGAACTATTTTATATTTACTACAGCACTAAGTAATTTAAACTATATTATAAATTAATCTTCAGATTGGCATTCCATTTTTAACGATGGGCTTCAATTTTTTTCTTTGAGTTTAAAGTGTCCAGAGCAAACAATGGCTCCACAGCCACCTCACCTCTCCCTTGCTCTGCCATCTATGAAACATTCCCACCACCCTCAGCAGAGTAGTCTCGAAATTCACTGGACTCACCCTTTGGATGTTAGGCATAACTTCCGGTTCAAGATAGCAGCATTTTGATACACAGTTCCATCTTTTTAACTTTAAAGTAGTTCATGGTAAGGAAACTGGCTGGAAAGCACTTACAAAATAGTCACACCTGAGACAATGAGTGGTTACTTATTTGTTGTATACAGTCTGGACATGACTGTTACTCACTTTCAATCAATGTTTAACTCCGCAATATTCACACTTACCAAGTAAGTTCCCATTTCCTTTTCCAGAACCACCTGTTCATATAATGTAGCATCGATGTCTGCCTTTAAAGCCTGCACCTTCTTCTTTACCTTCACATGCTGCTTCTTTTGGAGCCAGTAAGGAAGAAGAGATTCTACAATTTGGTTAAAGATCTGGGAGGTAATCAGGAGAGTAGCCAAGCTCTAAAGAGAAGCACATAAATGATACTTGGCGACGTGGCTTAACAAAACCAAAGCATGTGTATAATTATGCAGTAAAAAAAAGAATCTTCAACAAATAATATACTCTTATGTTATAAAAACTAGTATTGGAAAAGCTAGGTGTTAGAATGATGTTTCTAATTTATTGTTTTCTTTCACAGGAAAGACAGACTAAAATACAAAAAGATTATAATACAAATAAGATTATAATAAAAAACTGGTTATGAGTCGGTAGGAGAACAAATTAACTTGAAATTGTGTTTATTATCATCTCATCCTGGCTGCAACATGTGAGTCTAAATGATGTCACCAACTTTGAATAAAGTTTAGCCACAACTTATTACTATAAAATTAATATATCCTCCCTCATTGTAGAAAAACTTAAAAGATAGAAAAACAGTCACCCTTAATTCCACAACCATGTCAGAACCACTACTAACATTCTAAATATATTTTTTAATTAATTTATTTATTTTGGGGCTGCACTGGGTCTTTGTTGCTGTGCGCAGGCTCTCTCTAGTTCAGGCGAGTCGGGGGCTACTCTTCGTTGCAGTGCACGGGCTTCTGGCTGCAGTGGCTTCTCTTGCTGCGGAGCACGGGCTCTAGGAGCGCGGGCTTCAGTAGTTGTGGCTCGCGGGCTCTGGAGCGCAGGCTCAGTTGTTGTGGTGCACGGGCTTAGCTGCTCCGCGGCATGTGGGATCCTCCCGGACTGGGGATCGAACCCATGTCCCCTGCATTGGCAGGCGGATTCCTGACCACTGCACCACCAGGGAAGTCCCCTAAATATTTCTTTATAATCATATGTAAAAATAAAAGTAGAATCATCCTATATATAAACAGCTTTGTAGATTTCTTTTCTCACTTACTATACTGTGAGCACTTTCCCATGTCATGAATAATTCTTTTTTACTTAGCTCATGCACTGTTGTTGAATGTAAGTATTATTCCCAACCCTGGCTATTATAAATGCTGCCCCTTACCTACGTACATGAATCTTCGCCCCACCTCTGATGATTTACTAGGGATGGATTAACGTTCTTGGCAAAGTTGCCCAAGTAGTTTCCAGAGGTACTGTGTCAATTTCCACTTTCCCCAGATAGGTATCAGTGTTTTCATCACAAACCACCTTAGCTGATACTAAAATTCTATGTTTTTTAAAAAAAAAAAAAAATTCTATGTTTTAAAGAGACTTCCCCCAACCCCCTGTCCCGTTAAATAAAGGAGACTCTCTAAAGTATAAGAAATGAGGAGTCATACCCCACTAATACAATAATGGTGGGATTGGAAAAGGTATGTACATCTAAGCTATCGATTTCAAATGTAGTATTTTCAAAAATAATTTTTTAAATACTAAGAACACAATATTTAATTTTACTTTTATGCAAGCTCTTAGAACCGTAACTACAAAATCTTTTAACTTTCTCTGTTATACAAATTTTTAAATTCCTTGAAAAATGATCCCAAGCTCTCATATAAAGATTAAGAAGCCTAGGCTTTGAGATTCTGCTCACTAACAATCACAGTATATTAAAACCAGGAAGGAAGAGCCCTTACTGGTAGTTGGCTCAAGTATAAAAAAGAGAAATTAGAAGGCAATAATTTAATTTATTATTCACTATTATCATGTGATCCAGAAATGGTAACACAGCAAAATATGTCATCTTTCTTAAACATTTCAGAAACAATACAGCAGTGCATAGGATCTGCTGGTCTCTAAAGTTTAACAACTTATTAATTTAAAAATGAAATATGTGGGAGTTCCCTGGTGGCACAGTGGTTAAGAATCCGCCTACCAATGCAGGGGACACGGATCCCATTTGACCCCATCTCCCCTGGTCCAGGAAGATCCCACATGCCACGGAGCAACTAAGCCCATGTGCCACAACTACTGAAGCCCACACGCCTAGAGCCCGTGCTCCACAACAAGAGAAGCCACTGCAATGAGAAGCCCCTGCACTGCAACGAAGAGTAGCCCCCGCTCGCCGCAACTAGAGAAAGCCCGTGCGCGGCAATGAAGACCCAACACAGCTAAAAATAAATAAATAAAATAAATAAGTTTATTAAAAAACAAAAAAAAGAATCCACCTGCCAATGCAGGGGGCATAGGTTTGATCCCTGGGCTGGGAAGATCCCACATGCCGCAGAGCATCTAAGCCCGTGCGCCACAACTACTGAGCTTGCGCTCTAGAGCCAGAGAGACACAACTACTGAGCCCGTGCACCACAACTACTGAAACCCACACACTCTAGGGTCCAAGTGTCGCAACTACTGAGCCCACGTGCTACAACTACTGAAGCCCACACACCTAGAGCCTGTGCTCTGCGACGAGAGGCCACCGCGATGAGAAGCCCGTGTGCTGCAACGAAGAGTAGCCCCCACTCACCACAACTAGAGAAAGCCCGCACGCAGCAATGAAGACCCAATGCAGCCAAACATAATAAAATTAAATTAAATTTAAAAAAAAAAGAAATGTGAAAGAACTATTTAAGGTTATACCAATACCTGAGACACACACAGAAGTTCAATTAATGAATACATTTTGCCGTTAAAATTGCTTTTACAAGTTTTGATATGAACTCTGTATTTGATTTTGTGCTCTACCTGATTTATTTTGTAAGTTGGTTAGCTTCAACAAATTTCTTTCCAGTTGAGTATAATACACGGTGCAATTGCTAATGGTTGTTTATTTAGAATTGGGCTTAGAAGTACACAAAATTTAATAATTTTATTTATAAAGATAGTAATGGGAAGACAATTACATTACCTGAATATAGGAAACCACCTCTAAAACCTAAAAAATGGATACCTTTCTGTTTTTCACACTCACCTGACGCAAAAGCTTCATATCCCTCAGGACAAAGGCAACGTAGAAGAGTGAGGCAAAGCAATTTAAAAAGTTGAACTGCAAAAACAAAAAAAGATAGCAATATTTAATACTGCATCACAGTACTTCATTACAACTATAAAAATCGCATTTAAGAAACGTAATGAGGGACTTCCGGTCCAGAGAAGGTGGCTTGGACGTGTTTCTCCTACTCCCCCTCGCTAAGCACATCTATGAACTCGAAATATCGTGAGAGGCAACCGAAGGAGAGCTCTGAAAGGTGCTAAGAGGAAAAAGATCAGGTTTGGGACCCCAGGGCTGAAGGAACAACACAGCACCAGCGCATCTTACATCCCTACTACTTTCTTACAAAAGAGAGAGTCCAAGGCCCAGCATCTCCCACCCCCAACCTAGTAACCCAGGCAGCAGGGAGACACATTCCTGCCCACCCCGCTCAGAATAGGAGTCCTGACAACAGGCAAGCCCAGCAGCACTAACAGGGAGACTGACGAGGACCCCCACTAACAATAAGCTGTGAGGGGATGTGCTCTCCTTCCCTTCCGCCCTGCCACTCCCCTGCCCCACGGAGAGATGCCGGGTGGGGTGGCCAGGCAGCACCAGAAAGGAGGGCCCTGCCCCAACAAGCAGTCCAGCCCCAGAAGTCTCTCTGTGCCAAGGGACCTGAGATCCCCCCGCCCCCCAGAGAGACACCTAGCTAGCCGAGGGGCACTAGCAAGAGAGATCAGCCAGAACAACCAGCCTGGCCCGGGCAGCATCTTTGCCACCATGGGCCTGAGACTGCCCTGCCCAGACACATGGTTCAGGGGTAGGGGTGCAGGGAGTGGGGTGGAGATCCCACCACAACAGGTGCCATTTCTCCAAGTAGTCCCCCTGCTCAAGAGCCTGCAATCGCCCCCAGGACTGATGGGTTTCCTTCCTGTCCCCCAGCCGCACGCTGGCTACCTCCTCCCGTGCAGCATCACTTTCCGAGACAAAAGACTGCTCTGTGCACAGTATGAGCACTTCATTAGTGAGGGGAAGGGGGAGTCACTGGAGAGAATGAGCAGTAACACAATGTGGCCACAGGGTAGGGGGAGGTAGGCGTAGGGATGGGGGTGTCGAGTTAGAGTAGAAGTTGAAAAGCAAAAGCTCGGAAGGCTGAGAAACGCTCTCCGCACAAGATTGAAAAGGAAGGGAGAGACCTAGCACACACAGTGGAGGATGAACAGTCTCTTTACAAGACAGTCACCCGACATTGTATCTGGCACCATCAGAGAATAATCAAGTCTAACAAATAACTAAATTCTTTAAGACAAATGGAGTGTTTTACCTCTAAGGGCAAAAGCTCCACATTGGGATCTTTCTGAATGAAGCTTTTAACGCATTACACATTCCCCTGCTTGTTTTCTCACACAGAGAACCCGGAACGGAGCATCCCTGCTGACTCAGCACCAACATTTTGAATATAAATTATTTTACACGGCTAGAGTGAGGCCTTCGGAGCCTTTTTAGATATGGATGGCCGCTTGCCCCTTTTCTCATGTCCAAATTGCTGAAATTGTTGAATTCTCATTACCTATTTATAAGAGTTTTCCATTTCCTTCCGGGCTCTTGCCTCTATAAATTTACCTACTTCCAGAAACCTAATCACCTTCCTAATGGTGGTTTTTCATCCTTTAAGGATGGAAAAACGAGATAAACAAGCTTCTCAGAATGACTCCTACAGCTGGAACAAAGGCTCTTTCTAAGCGAGGGCCTGGGAGAAAAGTACATGGACTGGGTTAAATCAATTCCAGTGGATAGATAGGTCAGAGGACTCCTTATGCACTCTTTCTTGATTCTCAGCTATGTTACAGACAACTCAGGTAATCTCCAGATAAACAAGGTGATTTCAGGCTGGTACCTCTTTGTTATTTCTCATAATGGTGGGAAGAGGCATAACGTGTGCGCTTTAAACAAACAGCAAGCAGGTTACACAGCGCCTTTCCTCCATCCCTTTCCTCCTACTCTTCAAAACATGCTGGGAATCTCTTGGACTTTGGAAATTTCTTAGACAAAATTTTAAAAAAATAGTAATTTAATGCTCCATCACTAAACAGAAGGTGGGTAACTGGAAGGATTGTTGAATAATGAAACATTCAAACCCAAGTCACCAAAAGGAAAATAACAGAAACATGTCTATAAATTAGTTTTTTTAAATAATTGGAAATTGGCTATAATACTAATTTCTACATTTAAAGTCTTAAACCATGTGCACATTTGTAATAAGACTGCTGAACGTTCATGTAAACACACATTAGTCAATCCTTGCCTACTTGGACAAAGTATATTAACTACCTGATACCTTAAATCAGAATCAAGTCTTCATATTTACACTCCTAAATATTAAGTACTATGTGTTAGTTTCAAAAGTACAATGGACTTGTATATAAAAGATCTACTTACCACTAACACTTTCAGAATTAGGTGATTCTGGTAGGCAGATTCCAATCTGTGATTCTCTAAAACATGAAAAAGGAGAGGTAATGTCTCTCAGGTAAGAAAGCAGAACGGGAGCATTGTCATGAAGTAAAGTGAGACTGTGCTGAGGGCAGAGATGTTCAAAAACAGAGCCTCAGTCAGTAAACGTGCCAGGCTACTGCTTACCGCCAAGAACATCAAACAAAAAAGAAACTAAATTTAAGACACATTTTTCAAGATACTGCCATGGCACCGTGGTCCAAAATTATTTTTTAAATATTACTGCAATAAAGAAATGTAGTAAGTGTTGGCAAATGATCCCACAGATACCAGAAAAAGACCCTGTATCCGCGGTAATAGTAAAACTGAGAACAATCTCTAAAGAGTAGGGCGATAAATAAAGTTTATAAGGATTAACTTCAAAGGAAACTCAAATTTCCACCCTAAGAAAAGGAGACACTGTGCAGGTCCCAAGACAGCAGGGCAAAAGGACAAAAAAGGAAGATTCTGAACAGAAGTATCACCTTGCACAGAGAGGCAATGTTAGGCTGACCTGGATTTGAACCTCAACTCAGCCACTATCTGACCTTGGGCAAGTCACTTAACCTCCTGACACTCAGCCTTCTTGCCTACAAAACAGGGCTGCCACCACCCTCCTCCCAGGGTCACCGTCAGGATTACAAATACTACCAAACCCCAGCATCAGCTCGAGGAAAGCACTAAATAAATGGTAGCTGTTGTTATATGACTAATAAAAAGAATTTAAAATACCCTTCTGGTCCATGAAGTTAAGGCCTAGACTTCTTCCTAGGGCTTAATATAGCCTATTTATTTGCTTGAATGAATAAATTAATTAATGAGTGAATGGCCCATCAAGACATTTTTAAAACTATAACCAGGTTCCTCTTTTACTACAGAGACAGACAAGAACACCTGCCTTCGCTGAGTTCAATGGCAGGCCCCACACAACTACACAACTGGTTTTCAGATCCCAGACATAGTTCTTTCAGCCAGAGTATTGTGGAGATAATTCAACTGATTTTATCCTTAGCATAAAACACGATATAGTATTAGGAGCACAGGTTGGACTAGCCTGGCTCTACCATTTGTTGTCTAAACTTTGTTAATTCTCAGTATCTTTAGCCATAAAACTGTGAAATAACTTCTATTTCATGGTGTCCTGAGCAGGTGAAAATGAGGAACTATGGATAAAGTGCTTAGCAGGGCACCTAGAACATAGTAACTAACAATAAATGAGAGCTGTGAGAACCATGACCTAGAGATCATCAGAGCTCCCAGAGCCAGATGACTTTTCCTTATGTCTCTAGAATGAGCCCAGAGCAACATCTATCTTCTTTGCAAGGTAGTGGTTACGTGAATCCTATGATCGAAGCAATATTTCTCATAGGCAAATGAGACATAAATTCAAAGCACTGAGTCTTACCCCATGAAGTTAAAAACTCGGCAGCATATCGATAGAGGCGGTTCATGATCTCAATCACGATGGCATAGATGATGCTGGGCACATACAACAAGATACTGGTCCACTCGGACCTGCTGTTTTCGTGTAGATCCAAGGCCCAGGCCTCCATGTCAAAGTAAATCATCATGACAAACAGAGAGAAATAGAGACAGAGGCACACAAACGGCAGGGAGACCAGGTAAATGCGCAACTGCCTCTTGTAGCTGGGGTACAGCGGTTCCTCCCTGCCGGTGACGGCATTGATGCCCAGGACCCCGTGATATCCTGGCCGGGGCTCCTCAAACTGTCTCTTCATGACCAGGGTCCCCCACCTGTAGGTCATACTGGCACAGCCGCGCTTCCACACTTCCAGGATCACTGTGGACCAGATCAGGTTGAAGGAGGCGAAGACCACATACTTGTCATAGTTTTCCCACACAAACAGGTAGTAAGGTAGCCCAAGGACTGCCACAGGGATTAAGGCAAAAGTGAAATATTCCAAAAATCCAAAGTAAAGAGCGATTGTTTCTCCAAAGTAGCCACGAATACTATCTACAACGAAAGGAAAAAAAAGGACCTTAAGTCCCAACTGGCAAAGACTTGATTTTTTTAAAAAAAATCACTTCAAGTAAGCTTATTCACTTTTTTACTTAAGTGGGGATCATTTAAGACCCTTATTTCCCAATCGGTGTGTGATGGTAAGTCCATCCTCCATGAAGTACAAAGACCTCGCTTGTCTCTACAGCAATAAGCCTGACACCTCCCCCAGCTCAGGGCTCAGGCCACAGCTGCTGGGGCTGCTTTGGGGCTGCTTCTCTTCACCTTCCCATCTGGTGGATGCCTTCTTCACAATGAAAAACTCACCTCGGGCTCATCCTCAGTCTCCAAGGTCCTAGTTTAAATTCAGCCGTGGCCAATGAACCAGCTTCATTTGGGGGTTTACTTTATGCTCCCCACTTTTCTCTCACTTTAATACTAGAGTTATAGAGCTTATTTTCAAAGAAGACCCCTCACCCATAGTAACCTGCCCCCACTACTCAAAGCTGTAAACTTTCAATATGTCACGGCAAACTTTTCAATACACTGAAGAAAAATTATTCAAAAGCACAAAACAATTATTCTACACATTAACTTTTAGAATACATGGAATACATTTATCTGTACTTTCCTACAGATAAATGCACTGGGCAGAAGAAGGGCCAAGCAGCATCAGCTAGCTAAGCCAAAAGAGGTCATGAACACCGCGTCCTTTGCCGGCCACACCTACATGGTGACTGCCTAGACTGTAAATGCATCTTGCACTGGGACCAAGGTGGGATGCAGGGGGTGAGGGAGGCGTAAGAGTTAGAGTTAGTATTTCTTGGTTAATTACATGAAGTTACAACATTGTGTTTTTTTCTTTTTTTTTTTAAGATAATGTGTCAGATCAGTCTATGTGGATGGTTTACAGGGATCCTATTTTCCCCTATCCTTAATTCTTCTACTAACTCAGGAGCATGTGCAAACAGTGGGTATGATGAGGTAACTTCAAATCAGAATCAGGTTAAAAGATAAACAAAACAAAACAAAAAAAGCCACTCATGGTCCTGGGCGCCATATCAGACCATCTCTCTCTTTTGATCTCAGGGGGAAGTTCAAAATTTTCCTGAGCCCCAGCTACTATCTTCAGTCCCAGCACTCCCAGAAGCCTCTAAACCACTACCACACCCATGCTCAGCCTTCACCACCAACTCACTTTTTCCCCCTCACTTTCTAAGTAGTAGCTCCTGGATACAGCCACTCACAAGACCTAGAGGCAATATTTAAATTTACTGCCACCTAAATGCTAAACAAGGTGAAAAAATGTCCTAAGTGTAACATAAAATGACTATTACATCACCTGGAACTATCAAAAACAAACATTTTTCCTTTCAAAGAATACAAGAAAAAATTCAAAATGCAGTTTCAAAATTTGACCTTAAAAATGATTTATGTTCACTGTTACAATATTATAATAATTGTTTTCAGAAATGGCAATTAGAAAGAAAATTTGAGAGGAATTCCTTTAAACAAAGTGAAAAAGGCAATGTCCTTTAAAGAAAAATTGATAGTAATGCTTCTGGTGAAAACTACCATCTTAAATATAATCCTTTTGCTTAAAAGACGTAACTGAACCAAAAAAACTTGAACATCCATATTGACGAAGTTTACACAGAGTAATGTTCAACACACACCGAATAAATTAATGGTTATTCTTCTAAGTGTCTTCAGAGAAAATGCACAGTTCCAGTAATGCACACCAAGACCCTTATAAACTACCTCAAAAGACGTTTAGGCCTGCTAGTCTGCCACTAAGAATGAACGCAGCTTGGCCCACTGATTAGCGCTAAAGAAACAGAAATTTTCAAACACAAAATAATCACGGTCAAACTAGATTCTTATAAAGTATGTTCTACAACAAATCTGACACGTAGTCATGAAGGCCACTCTGGATTGCCTGTATCGTTGGTGAAATTTAATAACAGCCTGTAATTCAGTTCATCTCAAATGGTATCAGAAATAAAATAAACAAATAGGTCATGTAACCCCTCTATCCCCCTCACCAATATTTTGCCGACATGCAGCTGGTGAGCCCTGCCCAGCACAGCGTTAAGTATCTACCCAAGAGGGATACCACCACTGCTGCATCTTCCTCTTCTCTAAGAGAGCAGGCGCTGACACATACCTATGGGCTGATACTTTAAGGTAAACCGAGTATACCAGGTGTCCTCCAGCTTCTTCAGGGCTTCGTTGTCATGCAGTGGAAACACCTGAATCACGATGCCAGATGTGAGCAGCCTCCTCACTGCGGAAGGAACAGGCGAGACGGGTTTGAGATTGCTCAAGAAACGCTTCATCAAATGCTACCCAAACTCTCCAGGAAGAGAGAAGGTCTACACAGAGATCAACGCTATCCTGCCTGCTCCCAAGGTGTGTATTCTTCTGTTCTTCAGAATGTAAATATCTTTACTATTTCCTTTGGCTATGAAAGCAATACAAGTCGATGTAAAATTTTAAACCTTACAGAAAGGCACAGGATAGAATTTAGAGAGGCCCTTGTTTATTCTCTCCCTTCCACAAAAACATAACCACTGTAAATAGCAATTTAGTGTGTAAGCAGACTTCAAAATATACATCCATAAATATTTATTTTAGAAACAAAAGGGATCATTCTCTACACATCATTCTGTAATCTTCTCATGTAGTAGTAGTATATGATGAATATTTTTCAATGACAATATAAATAGAACATGAATGACCTTTTTCACGGCATCATAATATTCCCTTGTATGAAGTGCTATAATTTAACTAATCCTCTATTGAAAAATACTTGTTTCCTTTTTTCACTATTATAAATAATGTTAAAATTCTTATACATATAACTTTCCCCACCTGTCAACTATTTCCTTGGTACATACACTTAGAAGTAGAATTGCTAGCTCCAAGAGCAGAGCACATGTATCTTAAACTTGGACACATATTACAAAACAGCCTCTAGAAAAAATTTTACCAATCTGTCCTCTCACTACAGTGAAGGTAAGAGAATGTTCAGTTCCTTTCATTGTTACTGATCCTGAGTACTTTCAAAATCATTTTTACCTTTTCTAATCTGCTAACAAAGGCTTACATTCACAAACAGCAAATATCAAAATTTAAAAAGACTTCCAGCTTTCAGCAATCGTTTGGTATGATTTTAACACTTGTGCACATACCTGGGAGATGAGACAAGCTGGGACCTGGGACCCTTTACAGGAGTGTTTGCACCTGGACAAATGTCTCCTCCAGCAACAGAATACGAAGAAATTATAAGGGACTAAAAACTACCTTATGCAGGTCAAGAGCAGTTGGGGCAAATTATGAAAAATAAGATTCAAAAAGGCCACAAACCAACTGCCACTTCTGAGCAGCCGGGAGCAAAAGCAGAGTACTGCACATGCCCCCTGCACGCAGCACCACCAAGCCGCTGGGCAGACAACCTAAGCCACGCCTCCAGCCTGACCCACCAATCCACCCCCAGCCTCACCCTATTTAAGGGACCACCTTGTACCTCCCCCCACCCCCACCCCCCAGGAACAAGCAAGGGCACCTGTTACTTGTTTTCGTTCCCTTGAGCTGCAGCATGAGTCCCAATAAAGCCTTCCCTGAATTTCATCTGGCCTCTTCACAATTTCTATTGATTGAAGGGTCCAAGAACCCAGGTTGGTTACAGAGAGACAAACAAACTTAACCAAAGACAGTGTCCCCTAATGATAATAAATGAAAACTGGGCATTCTCTCATCCATAATTATTCAGAATGACTCACTGGGTAGACAGGTCTTCAGGTCTTTAAGAGGAAACGTGTTCAGTTCATGGAGAACTCAAATGCATGCCCTGTGCCACATTGCGGGAGACGGAGCACTTTCCACGCAAGTTCCCAGCAGCTGTTTTAATCAGCTCATCTCTTCTGAGGGCTGCCTTCCTTATCTCCTATCTACCTTGTTCCCAAAGACAAGTGATGAGCATATCAGGCAGTAGGCCCTTCAATGAGGACGGCAAATAAATATCCGCAGCGTGGAAGAGAAACATGATTTAAGTATCTGATGTACAAATACTGCATATAACAAAGAGAGATGGTATTCTCAGGACAGATGCCCTATTATAAAATCTTCAGAGTAATTTAAAAGAAACCCTAACTTCTTAGAAATGAAAAAAAGGATAATAAAGAGGAGATATCTGATACTAACAGTAGGAAAAATTATCAATATTATCACTAGGGGATATTGTCTTTCGTTAAATGTGTTCGGCTCTCTCAGATATGTGCACAAGTGTTAAAATCATACCAAACGATTGCTGAAAGCAGGAAGTTTTTTTTCTGATTTTGATATCTGCTGTTTGTGAATGTAGTCCTTATCAGATTAGAAAAGATAAAATTGATTTTGAAAATACTCGGGAAAAAGTATGGATCTCAAAAGAAAAAGGATCCTTAATAGATGGATCCTCTTACAACTATATCTCATGCATAAGTTATACAGAGGAAAAAAGTCTTAAAAAGCTAGGGCTGGGCTTCCCTGGTGGCGCAGTGGTTGAGAGTCCGCCTGCCGATGCAGGGGACACGGGTTCGTGCCCCAGTCCGGGAGGATCCCACATGCCGTGGAGCAGCTGGGCCTGTGAGCCGTGGCCGCTGAGCCTGCACATCCGGAGCCTGTGCTCCGCAATGGGAGAGGCGACAACAGGGAGAGGCGACAACAGTGAGAGGCCCGCGTACCGCAAAAAATAAGAAAAAAAAAAAAAAAGCTAGGGTTGTGATAAAATCCCCCTTCTCAATAACTGAAAAAGGTATATACTCAAAATATCAACAACTAGGATAAAAAGGTGTATGGTTTAAGTTATATCAGCCTCTGGTGCTGTCAAGTCCATTTTTAATATATTTTTTTAACATCTTTACTGGAGTATAATTGCTTTACAATGTTGTGTTAGTTTCTGCTGTATAACAAAGTGAATCAGCTATACGCATACATATATCCCCATATCCCCCCCTCTTGCATCTCCCTCCCACCCTCCCTATCCCACCCCTCTAGGTGGTCACAAACCACCGAGCTGATCTCCCTGTGCTATTTTACACTTGGTAGTATATATATGTCCACGCCACTCTCTCACTTCGTCCCAGCTTACCCTTCCCCCTCCCTGTGTCCTCAAGTCCATTGTGTGTGTCTGTGTCTTTATTCCTGTCCTGCCCCTAGGTTCATCAAAACCATTTTTTTTGAGATGCCATATATGTGTTAGCATACAGTATTTGTTTTTCTCTTTCTGACTTACTTCACTCTGTATGACAGACTCTAGGTCCATCCACCTCACTACAAATAACTCAGTTTCTTTTCTTTTTATGGCTAATATTCCATTGTACATATGTGCCACATCTTCTTTATCCATTCATCTGTCAATGGACACTTAGGTTGCTTCCGTGTCCTGGCTATTGTAAATAGTGCTGCAATGAACATTGTGGTACGTGACTTATTCTAAAGTGTTTCAGTGGGTTTTTTTGCAGCTAACATGAGTGAAAGTCAATCACCCACACCGGTTCTGATTCTTAGCTCTTATTTAGGGATGCAGAGCTGTACCTTATTCTTTCTTCTATTACTATCCTTTTCAACTACTGTATCAAGTTTCTGAACTTTGAACTGACTGATAACATCTAAATTATTATTTTACTATTTCTAAGCTCTTTTTAAAGAAATGACTCCATTCTGCTATAGAAAACTTTCCAGACAAGCATAAAAAGCCACCTGTATACCTCTAAAAATAAGGCTGCAAACTGAGGGACTCAGAACGAATATAATACACAAGTCCTAAACTACTGGGCTTCTCTTCACCATCAATGCCAAAAGCATGGTTCTGGTTTCAGCTTCTAAAAATAGAGGGTTTTTTTTTTTTTTTCCAATCCCTCGACTTTCTCATGTCAGTGAAGCATGTAATTAAACTGAGCCTTACCTTCAAAGGAAAATATGATGCTGTGCAGGCCTATTTAAAGAAAGGAACAATTCAAACCAAGATTCCTTCCTTTAAGAATGCTGAATGGTCTGCTGTCAAGGACTAGGGTTATAACTATTACAGCCATTTAATACTTAGCAAAACTAACCAAAATCTAATTCAAGGGAGAGTAGCCTGGCTGTGGGTAGGACCCTCTAAATTAAATAATGCAATAACAATACTAACACAGTCTGTTTAACATGACGTAAAAGTAAAAGCACAGGGCTTCCCTGGTGGCGCAGTGGTTGAGAGTCCGCCTGCCGATGCAGGGGACACGGGTTCGTGCCCCGGTCCGGGAGGATCCCACATGCCGCACAGCGGCTGGGTCCGTGAGCCAGGGCCGCTGAGCCTGCGCTTCCGGAGCCTGTGCTCCGCAACGGGAGACGCCACAACAGTGAGAGGCCCGCGTACCACAAAAAAAAAAAAAAAAAGTAAAAGCATAAATCCCTCCCACAACTCCTTCCGGCGTTTCTGTGCAGCGGGGAGGGGCGGGTCATGCTGCCTCCAATCCAGCAGAGGGGTGATCAGCTCCGACTGGGAGTGGAGGCCACACAGTGAAGACAGAGTCCCTCTGCCCCCGCAGCCGCTGCTGTGCCCAGCACCCCGCCCCAGGGCCCGCCTGCATCTAGCTCTCAGCTGTGAACAGACCAATCTTGTCTTAAAGAGGAAAAAACTGCTACACAGGGATACCTGTGTTTTCAAAATACATTTTCATATTCCTGCATTGTTTTCATCCCTGCTTAACATAAAAACTGCAAGTATGTACGTGGCAAAACACAGTGTGTGTGGAGATACACAGATATAGATATATAGATATATGGTGCTGTACCCGGCACTAGACACATACACACACACATACATCGATGGTTTCACTGTCTTATACACAAGGCTGCTACATGATATTTACTTGACATCCACTCTATTATCCTCATATGGTCAATAAATAATTTTAGAAGACAGATTATATCTGATCACTCTAAAAATCTAACCATTTGTATATAGAAGATATTCAGAAGTAGTTACTGTAATGTTCTAAAAGAGTAACAATATAGTATTAAAGACCTACCATGAGATTGCCATATCCCATCAATCAAAACATCAGAATCATCTGATAGACACTTTGAGACAGAGCTTTTACCTAAGCTAAATAATATCCCTTAGGATAAATTTAATACATAAGAAATTCTCTGCTCCCTCAACTCCTCCTTCTAAAGAAAATCTTTCCTTAGGTTATTTGCATAACTATTAACTATTAGGAATCAACAGGCAAAGGCAGTCTGAGGTTATGAAGAGATCAC